TCAGGCATGAAACTTTATGTCCTGCAAATTAGTTGCTTTCATTCATGTAATATATATATATATATATATATATATATAATATATATATATATATATATATATATATATATTATATATATATATATATATATATATATATATATATATATATATATATATATATATAAATTTGTAAACAAAAAAAATACAACTTTTTATGGTACTAATAGTTTCATGCCAACATTTATAGTAAAGTTTACAAATTTATATATATATATATATATATATATATATATATATATATATATATATATATATATATATATATATATATATATATATATGTATATATGTATATACATATATACATATATATATGTACATATATATATATGTATATATGTACATATATACATATATATATATACATATATATATGTATATATATATATATATATATATATATATATATATATATATATATATATATATATATATATAATATATGTTTTTTATTCATCATTCAACAAATGCATTCTTTTAAATGTGTTTGTTTGTTTGTTTGTTTGTTTTTTGTTTTTTTTTTGTTTTTTTTTGTTTGTTTTTTTTAACATCTTCGCTTCCAACAAGGCTGCAAGCAACTACTAATTAGTGTTAAAAGTTACTGGAAAAGATGAAGATTGTAGAGCAAGATAAGATTGACAGATGACTTAAAAGATTGCAAATTATATGAATCAGGAAAGCAAGATGAAGGAAGCAAATTCCAAAAAACTGATGTTCGAAGGAAAAAACTAGACGAATAAGAGTTTTTGGAGCACTTAGGAACAGTAACAGAAAAAGGATGAGACTTAATTGAATGACGAGCAACAGGAGAATGAAGTTTAGTAGATGGCACTAGAGACGCTAGCTATTTAGAGCAGTACCCATTATAGTATTTGTAGAAAAGAGAAAGAGAAGCAACATTATGACAATGTGACAGAGGTTGAAGGAAGGCTGCATGAGCAGGTCCAACTATGTTTACAATGTGTTTTTGCACCTTGTTTAAAAGAGAAAGGCATCATTAGAAGATCCGCCCCAGATATGGCAACAGTATTCCATACAAGATCGGATCTGAGATTTATAGAGATAGAGAACAGAATCCAGAGTAAGAAAGTGTCGAGCTCGATAAAGAGATGCAACTTTAGCAGATGCTAATTTTGCAACGGATTTAATATAAGGTTTCCAAGAAAGATCAGAAGTAAGAGTTATTCCTAGAAGATAAAGGTTAGATGACTCATCGAGTACATTACCGTTCATAAATATAGGAAGGTCTAAATTATTGCGATAATGATTGGCTGAAAAATTTTTTATCAATTGTTCAAATTATCAAAATGTTCAAATTATCAAAATGTTCTTACATCAATGATTGTAGCGTTTTATGTTGTTTTTAATAATGAATTTTTTGTTACAACAGCCACAGTTACAACCGTAATGACAAAAAAAAACATAAAAATGCTTGTAAAACTTTAAGAAAAACTATGAATATCAGTAGGTGCTAAATACACATACCAAATGATTATTTTTTTACCATGCTGTTCGGTGCATTAAGTCTGATAAAGTTATTTTGTTCAGAGGTGGTAAAAAGTCATTTCTATTTTTGGTTCATTTTAATTAGCTTGAAGAGTGTCAAATATTATAAAAGCCACCCTTGTGGATATATATATATATATATATATATATATATATATATATATATATATATATATATATATATATATATATATATATATATATATATATATATATATATATATATATATATATATAATAGATTCTGAATCTTTTTTGTATTAAGTTTATGTAGATTTATAGGTTTGAAAAAAAAACATTATTTTAGATTATTAACTTTTTAAAAAAATCTTAAAATATATTTATTTACATTGCAGCCATTGGAAGCCAATTTAAAAAATTTTAAATGATTATTAAAAACCATGTAAATTATGTTAAAAAATGCACTATAACATTATCAAAGTTCTCAATTATGGTTTATCAATTAATGATACAACTTTCAACACTACACATAAACACTACACAACAGGACTAAAAATAAACGTTAAATAAAGTTCATGCAACCCTTACAATTTTAAAACCATAGTAAGGTATTATAATATGATTTTTTTTTTAATTACTTTTTTGCCTTAAAGTATTATAATTTGTTAAAAAAAGTTATGGAGTTTAATATGCTTTTTTTTTTCTCTTTCTCAGAGAATTGTCTATATATATGTATAAAATGTCTATATATAATATAAAAAATGGCTAGAAAAGTTTGCGAACTAATCCGTTATTTTTAGTTAGTTTACTAAATTTTAAAAGTACTGCATTAATGCAAAAAATGTCTGTTGCAGTGTTTATTAAGAATCATCAAATTTAAAAAAAACATTTTGAAAAAAATAATTATATACAATATTTTTCAGAATAATGAGTTGTAATTATTTAAAATCTAAATCACAAAAAAAATGAACAAACTTTAAAATAATGCAAAAAAAAAAAAAAAGGAAAAAAACATAATATACATCAAGTAAAAATAAAAAAATATCAAAATATACATCAATCAAAAAAATGTACATAATAATTTTTCAATGTTATACAGATAACTTTAAAACCTTCAATGCAGGTTCTTTATTGGACTTGGGTGAAAAAAGCAAACAATAATTTTTAAGAATATATGTTTGATAATATTGATAGTACATATATTATTGATAATACATATATTAAGATAATATTGATAATAAGATAATATTGATAATACATATATTAAGAATATATGTATGATAATTTTAAGAATAATATGTTTGATAATATTGTACAATGTTTCTTTAACATATTAAAGTTATAAATATCAAATATCATCATTAAAGTATTACACAATGATTTTCTGCACATTTTGTTTTTCTTAATTTTAAAATTAATGAAACAAAAAAATACCCACTGCACACAGCAATCGAGAGGTATATTCAATTCACTGTGGTCTATAGTTTTTGTATAGTCTCCATATAACTGAAAATAAAATGCAGATCATTAAACAAATCATTTTCACTAACATCATCTTTTCTTGTAGCATAACCTGCAATATAAAACAAAGCCATTTTTGTACTCAATGACAAAGATGATTCTAGTTCAGGTAATTGATTAATGATGTCACAAGATTCTTCACTTATAAAATAGCCATATTTTTGACAAGAATGCTCGATATCAATAGCATAATCTGTAGCATCAACTCTTAATTGCAATAACAGTTTAACTTTTTCAATGTTTAACTTTTCAACAACATTTTGCACTGTTATAAAGTATGTTCCACCTGAACCTTGCCTAAACTTACTGAATGCTTTTTCAATGTAATCTGTTGAAAACTCTTCTAACATAACATAATCAAAATCACATCTTGACAACTCCATAACATGTATGCCAAATTGAAGTACCTGTATCTTTAGTTAAAGATTTCATTCTATGACCTTGTTCACCACTCATTTTAAATGCCATATCTCCAAAATCAAGTAAGTACTGCAAATTTATGTCTAATTCTCCAGAAATAACTCTCTTACGAGAATCTGAAAATTTCATATCACCATAAATTTCTTTTACACTTACAATTTTCCAAAATTTAGTAACTTTTTTTAAAAAACAAATGGTTTTATTCATATTGCAAGGGTGGATAACTTTTGAATAAGTTTTGAGAGCAGCTAAAGTTTCATCGCAAAATACTCTCAAACAATACTTTTTGTCTTTCAATGGGTTTTGGATGTATAGCTACAAAATTTAGTCTTGATAACTTAATTAGCTCTCAAAATCTCAAAAAGATCATTTTTGCTCTCAAAAGTCAATTTTTGCTCTTTTTCAAATTGTAATTCCTGCATTTTCTTTGTAATCCAGTTATTCCTAATATTTTTTAGTAGATGAACATAATCAAAAAGGAGAAAAATTCCACATTTTGTTAACCATGGTTTTCCTTCAACTCTCTCAAATAGTTTAAAAAAAGCTTGATTTGTCTGATTGCCATCACAAATAACTGAAAATACTTTTCGATTGCTAGACTTAATTAAATTAAATTTAATGACATAGCATACTTGCTCAAACAAAAAAGAAGCATCCAAATGACAGACAGGTATCATTTTGCATAAAAAAGATGGTCCACCTTTTAAACATTTAACCATAATACCCAAAACACTATTTGCTAACAACTTTGGATTATTTTCCGTTTTTCCAAAAAGATAACCACCATGATAAAGAAGAAGAGACTTTACATAAACTTCATCCACCAAAAGTATACAGTTTCTATGATTTTCCTCTAAATTTGAAAAAATGGTACTAATAAAGTCAATAGAAACTTTTTACAGTTAACATAAAAGGAATTTGATTGGATGTGCAAAACATCATTTATATCAAAAGTTGTTACAGGACAAATAAATTTACGATTTTTAATATCTTCACATAAAAAAATGAATGTAAACAAATCGTTTTTTAAATATTGCGACAACTCATCACATTTTTTAGTTCTGATAGAACAACACTTTAGTAGTGGACCTTGGTTTTAAAGGTTGAGTTGGTTCAACACTAGCTAGAATATTAAAAATTGAAGGAGGTTCAATTGAGATCTAACTTTCCCATTGACAATAATTGTTAAAAAATTTTTTGGAAAATGTCTTTTTCCAAAAAATTTTTTTTTGGAAAAAGACATTTTCCAAAAAATTTTTTAACAAAAAATCTTAGGGAAGCCTAAAAACTCGTACTTTATTTTTAGCGTCATAGTTTTCTCTACATTCAGGAACACAGCACTTTTTAATCATTTATTGTAACAATCAATTACTCACAAATCGAACTTTAAAAAAACTAAAATATATCTTTCCGTAAGATTGTCCGCCCCCAGTCAAAAATATGGATTTGCGAAGAGAAGGCCTGTAATAAGTATCGCGATGATATATATATATATATATATATATATATATATATATATATATATATATATATATATATATATATATATATATATATATATTGTGTTTTAATTTTTAGTTTTTATTCTAGGACAGGCAAATCAAGGTTCTTGAAGAAAAATGTTTTCGATATGAAAAATCAGAAGGTTCAAAACTTTTAATTTATAAACAAGTTATGCATAAAATAGACATAAGTAATTTAATTTATGACAGCATATTTATTACAGACAATAAAACTAAAAAAATAAAATTATAAAATGTAACTTAAAAATCTATTCATTTTACAAATTTTTGTTCTAAATTTTGACAAAGTGTCTTTCTTTGTAATGCAATTAAAAGGCCATAAAAATTTTTTGGCTTTAAAAAGTTCTTTTTTAATAATATTTTTAATAAAAATATATTTGGTCATAAACAAATTAAATTAATTTTTTCAGTTACAGTTGCTACATTCTAAAAAGCAGTTGTTTTAAACACACTTCTTCAAGTATGCAATTACTAATTAAAAGTCATTATTATATTGAAATGCATAGAGTAGACCAAATCTAGTTGGCTACCGACAGATTGTATTTAACTTTCAATACATGTGAAAGTTTAACCATTAAATTTTCACATGTGAAGTTTAACCATTAAATTACAATTTAACGGTTAAACTTCACATGTGAAAGTTTAACCATTAAATTGTATAGCTCAAAATTAAAAATATATAAATTAAAAAGAAAGATAATGGCAAGTATGATAAAGATAAGCAACCCTATTAGATGCTGACTTTGCAATGGATTTTACCATGGAACAAGTTAAAGTGGACTTGACTAATGCATATATAGAGCATGGCATCCTAAGAAATGAGCTATGCAGTTGCTAAATTCAACCCAAAGTTGTAACTTAAGTTGTAAGGAATCTTTATAATGTATCAGAATATTAAAAACTAAAGCTTCTTAGATTTATAAAGTTTTTGTTAATTGATTGAGTTTTAATGTTACTCTCAGCTTCCTTAATTTAAGTTACTGCTTTCTTAATTCAGGAAGGAAAGTATTTTTGACTTAAATTTTTAATAATTTAAAACAATAATATTTTTTTTGGAAAAACACTCACAAAAAAAATCTAAAGTTTGACTATATGATAAAATAATTTTTAATAGAATAGTATGTTTTTTAAGTATTTTTTTTATCTTTATAAATTATAGTAGCAACACAAAGTCAACAAACAGACAGTGAACTAAAAACAAAGTGTTATAGACTTCAGAAACAAGTGCATGATATGGAGGTAGATGATATGCAGTTTAAAAATATTATCATTCTTTTTTTTTTTTTCGTTTTTTTTTTTTTTTTTAGTTAGCATTTGTAGATTGTTAAAGAAATATTTTTTAAAGAAATTTGATGAGAGAACATCCTTTCATCAGCTAGATAATGTCAACATTTTTATTAATGGATAATATTATTACACCATGTTGTCATATATTTTACTGTTTACACTACCATAATCTTATCTTACACTATTTTTCTTTGATTTTATTCTTATATATAATTTTCAATTAATATGATATATTCACTACTGTCTTTGTTTTGTTCAGTACAAATTTAAGTCTTTAATACTTTGAATTACTTATAAAAATGTGTTGGTTTTATTATATTCATTTATTTTTTTAAATATTTGCATTACTTATAAAAATATTAAAAAAAAACTTTTAATATATAAATTGCATATGAAAATATTTTAACTTTTTTTTTTTTATATATATTTAAATTACTTATAAAAGATGTGCAGATTTACCTTAGGCATTCCTGGAAGATTATGGAATGATATGGTGTGGAGACAGTGAAAATGGGGATAATAACGAAAATAAAGATATTATTCAGATAAAGAGGAAAAGTTATCAGGGTATTCACTGAATTTTTATATTTTGGTGGTATTCTATTGGGTTTTTATTTGGTTGGTTTTTATGGGTTGACCACTTGATTAATAATAAGTGAAAAAAGTTTAGGGGAAACTAGGGAGACTTCAGACATTGGGAGAGACCAGATATTTTGAGATTTTTTACCCTGTTAACATTAGAACAGTGTTGTGGTCGATATATTGTTAGACATACGCTCTTATGTTGGTAGACATATGCTCTTAGATTTAAATTAGTTAGGTAACGATAAAAAAAAAATTTTAAAGTGATTTTTTGGTTCTTTTTTGTAAAATGCTCAATTCCAAGTGAATCATACAAATCCTATTTTATGAAATCTGTTAGATTTGGTGCAATTATTTTTAGAACAAGCAATTACCTGCTAACCTTTGGGAATGTAAGTATTTGTTATCTATAAATGAGTCGGTAACAATTTCCTTGATTTTTTCAATACATCCCATATTTTGTCCAAACATTTTAGACAAAATCTCTTCCAATACCTTTGTAATGATTGCTAAATAAAAATTCCCTATGGAATATTGATAAAGTTTTTTATTTACACATTCATTAACCATTGCGACACCATATTTTCCTTGTAGATTAGTTTAGCACAAAGAAATTCTCGTGCTAATGTATATAAATGCTGTTGCGCTAAACTAAAGAGTTGTATTTACTAAAGTAAACAAAAAAATGTTTTACCCTTTTAATAAGTTTTAAGTTTTATTATTTTATCAGCTAATCAAAAGATGACTAGAAACTATAAGAGAAAAACCAAGCGTACATCCTCACTTAAAATAGTGAGAGATCTTAAGGGAGAAACAGATTTTATCTGATGACCAGCTTCACACCCCTTTTATTAGGCTGGTGTAAATGTATTTATAATACATTGTTTCCAGTTTAGGATGTTGAATGTTGGATCTTTTTGAATCATTGCATGGGTTTTGCTTATGTCTCTGTTTTTATAACTAGGCGATTATCTCTATTATCTATTATCTCATTCTATTATCTCCTAATGCGGGTACAGCTCTAAAACTCAGTTTAATGGTTCTGAGGCCATCTGGTAGTCTGTTTTTCCAAACTCTATTGTAACTTTCAGAGAGACTGATTCCATCAGCTGTAAAATATCAGAGTACTACCAGTGTCATAATGCGCATGGATGGTGTTCCTGTATGTTCTTTTGGTATGCATTGTTGAGGCCATATTTGAAGCCCTTTGTTAAGGCTTAGGGTTTATTAATAGTAATCAGGCATTTGCTTAGACTATTAGATAGTGTACTGAGCACTATATATTGTTTGAATCAAGTTCTTTAACCAATTTACAAAATGACTTAATACCTAAAACGCCAATATTGTTGTTGTTGGTCATTTTAATGCTCATTGTGTTGAATAGCTTGGTTCTAGTGTCAGTGACTTTGCAGATGTTACGGCCCACAACTTTTGCCTTTCTCAATCTTTAATACAAATAGTCGACTTTTTAACTCGCTTTCCAGGCAATCCAAATAATTTACCTTTTCTACTTATGTCTTATTTCTAATCCTAGTCTGTGCTCAGTTTCTCTATATTCACCCTTAGGTCAACCTTTGTGCCTCTGTTTTTATGACCCTAGTCATAGATGTAGTAGGAGTGCGAAGCTGGCCAATAGATAGAATCTGTTTACCTCTTAAGTCTTTGCTTAGGAGGCCTTTTACAAGACATTAGCCTTATGCATATGTCTGCCCTAGATGAGTATTTTTATCATCTCTAACCTTTACTCAACCAAGTGTCCCAAGTCATCGGATGTTTAAAGTCGGAGTTGGTTTCTCGTAGTCTTTGCCAAAAAAAGCTTATCCTACAAGGCAGCAGGAAATGAAACAGGTTGTACTGGGTTACACATTACCAATACCAGGATAACCTGACCTGACAAAACATGGAATGAACTGCTGTTAAGTAGGCTCCTTCCCTATCTCTTGCATAGTTATCTCTCATACTAGAGTATGATCTTTTTACATATTTCTTGTATCAGCAAATAGTTTAGTTTAAACTCTTCAAAAGCATGTGCTTCTGTCATAATTCCTGTTTTACAAAATTGTTCTTCAGCATTTTCTTGACTATTCGAGAAATGCTTAATGAATCTTGTTTTTTTACCTAGTGGGAATCAGCATCAGTGATTCTAATAAACTTCAACCAGAAGTTTATATGGCGTATGTTAGACAGTACTTCCAGGGGTATGTTGGCGATCGAACTTAAAATTTCTTGCTTATGATGCGCTCTACCACAACATATTGCTGTTGATCAATTACAATGTTGCATTTCTAAATATAATATATATAATAACATCTTACAGAGAAGCATTTTAATACTACTTGTTAGTGGTTTTTTATGAGACCAGTGTGAAAGAGATATTTGCCAATGTAGTCATTATTCAAAAAATTTGCAATACTTAAAGACTTGTGTCTGGAAAAATTTATAATCAATGACACCAAAAAAAATTTATTTAAACCCATCTCTGGCATTTTATCTTGCTTCAGCTTTTATTGTGTTCTTTGCATCAGTTTTGTTTAGTAAAAAATAAAAGTTAAAGAAACTTAAATCAACAAATAGTTTGATCTTAAAAATAACTTGTAATTTGGTCTTGATAATGACAATCATTTAATCAGGTAGTATGGCGCAGAGGCCTCCCACACACATACTTGTTTCAAAAGTATTTTAATGTAAATCAAAAATATATTTAATGTTTTTTTCTCTTTAAATGATATTTTGTTTAGAAAAACTAAGGAATAAAACAAATGTTTTCAAGATGGATTTTGATCTCGTGGTTAATAATATAGAAAAGCTAAATTGGCTTGCTGGTGAAGGTGAACATTATATAAAACATACAAAAGATGGAGCAAAACTCCAGGTTTTATTATATTTTAATTTGTTTATTATTATTAGTTTCAACTATGTTTATTGTTTATTGTAATTATAATTAGCTATAATAAATGTATTATCCTATAAATTCTAGATAAAAGAACCAGTTTCCTTAACTCTGTATAATAATGGTATTGTCATGTTTGCTGGTCCTTTTAGGCCATACTCTGAGTCAACTACCCAGGTTTTTTTTTTTTATGTTATTTTAAATTAATCTTGTTTTTTTTGTTTTTTACTCTTTTTTTAATTAAGTTTAAAATTAGTATTAGAGTTACATCTTTTACTGATTACATTATAGTTTTTTTACTGGTTACATCATAGTTTTTATAATGATTATGTCATACTTTTTATAAGTATAGTATGATGTGATCAGTAGTGATATAAGTTTTATTGTATTAGTCAATAGATTCTGAATAATTTGCTTTTAAATTTTTCAATAATTTAAATCTAAATAATTAAATTTTTTAAAGTCTTTTTTACACATTTAAAGGGACCACCAAGTCCCGAGACATGTTGTGTTCATTTTAAAGAGAATGTTAAAAAAAAACATCTGAGCAAATTTTTTTTGATTCAAACTAATTAATAAATGTATACAAAAAAAAAACAAATCTTGTTGTTTTAGTCAAAGCTTGTCTTCTTTATTTTCTGCGGTATTTAGAGTCTTTAAAATAAACGCAAGGTGCATTATACAGACTTGATAATTTATTCAAGTGCGTTTAATTCATAGGAGCTTTAGTACATGACCTCATAGATTATTTTTTTGTTTGTTTAAAACACTGATAATTATTTCTTACATACAATTTCCAAATCATATTCATTTTTATTATATGTTAAAGTTCTAAAATGTGTTTGTAAAAAAATTAAAAACAAAATAGTATTTTATTTGCGCAACTTTTTTTAAATAATCGTCTAGACCACATATATTTTGATTTCTTTTGTTAAAAGTTTTTCTTTCAAAATATTAGATAAAATCATTTTTAACCTAAAATAATAATGCACTTTTACTAATTTGCTTTGTAAATATTAAAAAAATATATATTAACGCATATTTAAAAAAATGTATTTTTTGGTTTTGAGGTGATCTTATTTCATTATTTATATTTCCATTATTATAACACCTACTATATATAGTGGCTATGGAAGGTCCAAAAACTCTCCTTATAAAAAGATGACCTTGATTACCTTATAATAGATTCTGAATTTTGTTGTTTATTTAAACAGTGGGATCTATTATTAATTTTATCTATAAAACTTAACTTTTCTTTTATTACTCTGTATTTCCTATCAAAATGATGTTTTAATCAAAAATTAATTTTGATAAACTACTGTATTAAGGATATTTGATGAATTGTTAAATTTTTTGTGTAGAAAATATTTATATAATTATGTTAATTAAATTTTATTAATTGGGATATGGATAAAAGAGTAACCTTGTTATACTTTTCATTTGCATTTTGATAACTAAACTTTGAAATGTCGGCAACTCCATACTCATTTGAATCTTTTTTAAAAAAGTTGAAGAAAACCAGTAAATATCCAAAAAACAAAATAGTTGACGATATTATTAGCTATGTAAATTTGAACTTTGTGGCACTGAAATTCATTTGAATGTAGTTGTTGAACAATGGTGTAAATGTGGATACTGTAAAACAATGCCACTTGAAAAAGAATGTATTTGTAATTTGAAATAAAGGCAATAAATATTGTAAAACAATGCCACTTGAAAAAGAATGTATTTTTATTTTGAAATAAAGGCAATAAATATTGTAAAACAATGCCACTTGAAAAAGAATGTATTTTTATTTTGAAATAAAGGCAATAAATAAATAAATATTGTCACAGATATTATAAAATAACTATAATATCATTTCAAAATATAAATAAATGTATTATTGTTAGCAGAATTAAAATAAAAAGTTATAACAAACTGTCACATAATAGCTGTGTAAAGTTAAAAATAATTTTTATTTTATTTTATTAAATTTATTTAATAAAATAAAAATTAAATAAAAATTATTTTTAACTTTTATTAAATTTTAAGCGCGTTAGTATATATAATATATATTTTAGAAGCTTGAAGATATTCTAGGATATTTAAAACTGATTGCCCACAATTTGGGAGGGCAATTTCTACTTTTATAGCCTTTTTTGATCTCATTGGCGCAATTTTACAGAAAACATCTTGATATGACATAGGTATAAACGTACACAGTTTTTTTTCTTTTTATGAGTTTCATTTCTAGTTTTGATTACTTCTGTTATTGATGAAGTTAGGGTAAAAATAAAAATAAAAAAATCTTTAAAGTAAAGGGACCAAAAGATAAAGTTTTTAATAGTGGGGGCCATGCCCCCCCTCTCTTCAATATAGCGGCAAATATTGGAACTAAGGGTAATCTATGAAGTGGTATATGAGAACCCGATTTGTTATTGCTAGAGCAACCGATAACAGCGCAACGTGGCATTGTAATTTTTGTTTAGAAATTTACTCTTTATTATTTAATAAGCATGGATTTAAAAACGCAAAGTATTTTTGTAACTATTTATAAAATTCACATTTAAAGTAAATTAGACACATCTGTTTTTTAATCAATGTAATAATTAATATTTGGTTTCAGTGCACATTTAAAAAATGCATTATATTGAGTATTTTTCAATTTATGTTGAATTTGCATTCAAATAAAAAAAAACGTAAATAACAAATAAAAGTTTGACTTTATTCTATTTGTGGAATCATCAACTCAATAATAACATTTCTTCCAATCTTCAAAAATATTCATTCCAATTTTTTAAAATAAAAAATATCATACAAATTTTACAAAACAAATTTAATTAAATATAATCTGACACACGGCTAAATAAGTTAAATTTCAGTTAAAGTGATAACATGACCATCAACACGGCCTTCAAAGCGGGAAAAATTTCAAAGAGGCTTACTCCCCAATTTAAAAAAAAAATCTTACATTTCAAGAAAAAAAAAGTTATCTTAAAAAAAATAATTGGGGGGGCCATCAACACTTTATTATTATAAATATCATATATCATATAATAACATTAAGTATTGATAAAATCCAAATTATAGCTACCAGTGCCATGGATAGGGAGTCTGAGGTCCCCGCCCTTTAAAACATGTCATTAGGGTTTCAACATTTAAAAAAACTTTGAATGTTAGGTATAACAAAAAAAAATTTAAATTTGGTAAATTTAATCTTAAAATTAATCTTAAATTTTAAAAAAAGAACACCTAAATTTACTGCCCCCCCCCCCTCCATTTAAGGCGTAGCCAATGGGCCACAGCGTGTTATTTTATTGGCTTGGCAGAACAACCAAAAAATCCAAAAATACCAAGTTTACTACTAAAGCCTACTTGTTTTATAAAAAAAGGACATTTAAAAAAATTAGGCGCTATAGGAATCCTTAGGTCCACCATAGCCATGGCCCATGTAGCCACAGCTCTGATAGCAAAAAAAAAAACATAAAAAATTTTTCAATGTGAAGATTTTAGAAAATAAAATAACTAATTATAGTTAGCTATTTTGGAAAAAATTTAAAAGTAAAATTTTTAAGGAAATTCTAGAATGTTTCCAATAATGTCATGTACTATAACTCCTAAAAATTAAACGCACTTGAATAAATTATCATGTCTGAACAATGTGTCTAGAAAATCGCATTTATTTTAAAGACTCCAAATACCGCAGAAAATGAAGAAGACAAGCTTCAACTAAAACAACAAGATTTTTTTTTTTTTTTTGGTATACATTTATTAATGTTTTAATCAAAAAAAATGTGCTCAGACGTTTTTTAACATTCTTTTTAATATGAACACAACATGTCTTGAGACTTGGTGGTCCCTTTAACAAACTCACTTTTTTACACATTTCAACTTGATTTAGAAATTACACGGCAAAAAAACAGAATTCTTTTGTAAAGTAAAAAAGCTACTAGAAAATAATTTAAAAAAATAAAATTCTTCTTGTTATTTAGGTTTGTATGAAAGATATTATGGATGGGTATTTTCCTACTGAATTAAAAACAATGTATCCAAATGGTGTGCTTTTTCAGGTTGCAAATTTTTTCAGGTTGCAAAATGTTGTTATACATATAATAACATACATCAACAAACATCAAACTTGTGTTCACACAAACATAAGTTCACCATTTTGTTTACGTAGATATAAGTTCACGATTTTGTTCACACAAATATAAAATCACTCTTTTGTCCACACAAATATAAGTTTGCACTTTTGTTTACATAAACATCTGTTCACACCTTTGTTAGACTTTTTTACAATACTTTTAAAGCACTTAGAAGTTAGTAGACAATTAAATTAAATTTGTTGTTTGTATGTTTTTACTGTTTTTTTTTGGGGGGGCCATCAACACTTTATCTTTATAAGTATCATATATCATATAATAACATTAAATATTGATAAAATCCAAATTATAGCTACCAGTGCCAACTGCACAGAGAAATGCATTGTACTACAAGGAATGTAGTGTGATTAAACTCTGTGCTCTTTACTTTTTAGATTTTTTTCACCACTGCCACATAAGTATTAATATAAAAAAAAAAAATTATTTTTTAAATAAAAAAAACTTTTTAAATGTTGTTTTTGTGTTTTATAACAGCATCTTAAGCAATAGCAGCAGCATAACTTTATTTTTTTATTATTTTTATTTATCGTATTAAAATGATAACAATATATGGTATTTATTTTTTGCTTGTTTTTACTGGCAATATCTTGTATATTACTAATCAACTTAATTTGTTTCTACAACTTGTTTCTTCCCACAGCGACCTTGTTCTTCAAGGTTTGTGTTTCAGAGTTATAGAGTAATGAGAGGGTTGTAACCACAACTAAAATAGCTTCCTTGACTGTAGTGGCTTCCATGTCCTTGGGGAGGTAAATTAAAATAAAAAAAAATTGTAGTTGTAGTAATAGTACTCACTTCACAGTGGTGAAGTGAAAAGAATAAAAAGTTGGTTCCATTAGTGTTTTTTTTCCAAAAACCACTAATGGAACCAACTTAAGTTTTGCAGCAAATGTTTTATTTTGTTAGAAATAAGTTTGTGTGGCACCATTAGCGGTTTTTGAGATAATGACTGAAATCTTCATAAACTACAGCAAAATCATATTCAAAAAATTACACTTTTTAAATCACTTTTATAAAAATTATCCAATTTTCTTTCTGATCAGAGCCGTAGGAACAAAAATTATATTGGGGGCAGTACTACCCCGAAAAGACTTTTAAACTACTGTGCACTTGTGTGTGTTTGACATAGAACTCTATGCAGCCATTTAAATTAAGATACACATTGACTTCTATTAAAAATAGATGTGTGCCTCGATTGAAATTATTTTTATTTTTTTGCATGTTCTTGACTAATTTCAATTAAATTATAGCTATGTGGTGATTTATTTAAATACCCACACAACTCACTAAACTTTTCTATTTCTGATGGCATAAGTTGTGTGCCATTATCATTTTGTACTTTATGTGGTCAAGTCTAAAAAAATTGTTAACTTTTTTGATTACTGTTTTTGATTGGATGTTGTACTGTACAAGGTTTTCTGTTTGTTTATGCCATCTGCTATGCCTTGACAGTTTTTTTGCTTACAATTTTCCTATCAGTTAGTTTATGTTACAACATGCTTATGTTCTGTCCAAACCTCTGACATGGTGTTCATTCACTCATAGGTTACTATATGTATGTTTGTGTTATGTCTAAACCTCTGAGCAGTGTTTGTTCACCATAAGTTACTATATGTATGGTTGTTCCAACCATACATATAGTTACTTTATGTATATTTGGGTTCTATTTGAATCTCTGTTGGAGTGTTCAGTTACCAAATAGTGTTTACAACTATATAACTGAAACTCACTTTAATTTCCTTACAACTATAATATACTTCCGCTTTCTATTAATTTCTAGTATTCCTTTAGATGTAATGTTTTTCCTAATGCATTTCCAAAATCTCCCATTCAGTGTTTAAAATTAATGCTTTCAAAAGTAACTTCTTTTAACTACTCTAGGTCAGATTCAGGATCATTGCGATTGCCCGTAACATATAGCCCAGTACTACCTCCTTCATGTCCTGCTGGTCTGGTAGGATATGCTTTTCTAAACTCTAAAGTAAACTTCCCCTTCCTTATGGTTCTTGATTGAGTAAAAGCTAGTGATGACAAAAACACTCAGATGTTAATTGCATTCAGCCACTTTCTTGTAGAAGACATCTTAGGCAAAACTTTAGGGTTAAGAAGAATAATTATATTAATCAGCCTTGCACCTTTTCTTTATCTTTTAGGCTGGCAAAGATGTAAACCTGTGTTTTTTGGTAAATTAAGGGTAACTAGGATTAACTAGTAAGATTTTTATTGACTCATAAACTTTTGCTGAAACTTTTGTGGTAGCTTGCAGCGAGGCTGATTCTATCAACAAGTGTAAAATATCAGAGTATTAAAAGTGCCATGTTGTGCATGGTGTCCCTATATTATGATTTAGGGTTAACTAGCAGGACTGACCCAATTGAATAGCTCATTGCTATAGATGCTATACTCTTATTATAAATGAGTCTAGTTCTCTTTAACTTACATTATTTTACTGTATCTGTCCTTTCATGTCCTAAAAACTTCTAGTTATCTTTTTTTTTTTTCGCACTTTGAATTTCACAATGCGTTGGAACTCTCTCCTCATGTTTTCCTGAATCATACAACTGCAACTTTTTAAGATGTAGTTGAAGGATAAACTTTTGATTTTTTTTTTTTTATCATCTTCGCTTCCAACAAGGCTTCAAGCAACCACTAATTAGTGTTGGAAGTTACTGTAAGAGAAAAGATGAAGATTTTTAAGCAAGATAACGATTGACAGACGACTTAAAAGCTTGCAAATTATATGAATCAGGAAAGCAAGATGAAGGAAGCGAATTCCAAAGAATTGATATTCGAAGGAAAAAACTAGACGAATAAGAGCTTTTGGAGCACATAGGAACAGTAACAGAAAAAGGATGAGGTTTAATTAAATGACTAGCAACACAAGAATGACGTTTAATAGATGGCACAAGAGGCGCTAGCTCTTTAGAGCAGTACCCATTATAGTATTTGTAGAAAAGAGAAATAGAAGCAACATTACGTCAATGTGACAAAGGTTGAATGTTAGCTGCAAGAGCAGGTCCAACTATGTTTACAATACGTTTTTGCACCTTGTTTAAAAGAGAAAGGGCATCATTAGAAGATCCACCCCAGATATGGCAACAGTATTCCATACAAGGACAGATTTGAGATTTATAGATATAGAGATTAGAATCCAGAGTTAGAAAGTGTTGAGCTCGATAAAGAGATGCAACTTTAGCAGATGCTAATTTTGCAACAGATTTGATATATGGTTTCAAAGAAAGATCAAAAGTAAGAGTTAATCCTAGAAGATGAAGGATAGATGATTCATCGAGTACATTACCGTTCATAAATATAGGAAGGTCTAAATTATGTATTAAAAAATGTATGGAAAATGGAAACATGTATTAAAAATACATCTAGCCTAATAGATGAAGAAGGAGTGCGAGGCTGGTCAATAGATAGAATCTGTTTACCCCTTTAGTCTTCGCCTAGGAGGCTTCTACAAGACGGTTTTGAAAATAGGTAATTATTAAATTTTGTTTTTTATTTTTAACAAAAAAATTTTAACTGAATGCATGTTGTATTTTGTTTTTTGTTATTAACTGTTTTTACTTTGGAGAAGAACAAGTTTTACTTATTTTTTTCATCACAGAATTTTTTTTGATGTAGTTTTTGTTGTTTTTAATAAACCTACTTTTATGATCCTGTAGTTTGACAGGATCATAAAATAAAGTAAGTTTTTTTTTTTAAGTCATAAGTTTTTTTTTAAGTTTTTTATGACTAGCAGATTTTTAGCAGATATCACCAGATTGTAGAATCTTTTTGGTATATTATCAATTTTTGCTCCATTTTTTTACTTTGTTGTTGATCTTGAAAATTGCCACTTTTTTTTTTTGCATCTTGTAAAACCAGCTGCTTTACTTAATAAAAAAATCAGCATTGAGATTTTGTATACCTTTTAGTATTATTTGTTACCCATTGAATTTGATTTTTTTAAATTCTTTCTTTATGTCTTTACTTAAATTCAGGTACCACATAAATTTTTGCATAGTTTTATAACATTATATACCATAATGTTTTTATCTTCTATACTTTGAATAAGATTTCAAATGTCATATTATATTACAAAGAATTATGTATATTATAAAAAGTTATGTATATTACCCTTGTTGTCTATATTGTTTCAACTGTCTCTTGAAAGCTTTTTCATGAGTATAAAAGAATGTTTCATTGTTTACCAACACATTTTGTGTGATACATACTGTCTAATATATTTTTAAATGACAAAACATTGCTTTGTAGTTGTTATTGTTTAATAAAAAATGTTAATATTGTATAAAATATTTACTGTTTTTTTGATATTTTGTTTATTGTTTTTTATGTTATAATATTTTAGGTTATTGATAAGCGTGATACATTATACAAAAACAAAAATCTTGAAAAGATTTTTCCAGGAGTTGGACTAACTTTGAGTCCTGATAAAGTTAAAAGTGAAAATAGAAAAGTAGAATATGATCACAACAATGGTTTAAGAAAATTTACTTATAATTGTTTCAATTTTTTTAATTGATTAAACAAATTTTATAAAAACATTAATCATCAAGAAGGATCATTAATCATTTCTATCTAAGAACTGTTATTGATCATTTATTATTTAACGATAACAAATAATTGTTGTTGTTTTAAAATATTTAGGCAATAAAGAAAGTGTAGAAAAATTTCTTTCGAAGCTCCCTATATGTAAAATAGAAGCAGGTCGAGTTATTGATGTAAGATTAGGAATAAAAGATATGTTAAAGGTAAAAACAATTATATTGAATATACTTTCAAGTTTAGTATCTTATTATGTGTTAAGTTATGTATTATGTATTATTAATAAAATTATAAATTATGAAACTCTTAATATTTAATTTATGTTTAATTTAAAAAATATTTTTTTTGTTGTTGTTTTAGCCTGCCAGTTCAAATAACGTCCTTGTAGAAAGAGATCTTTGTGAAGAAATAAAATTCAGGTAATTCATTTTTGTAATCTTTTTATATTTATTATTTTTTATTTAATTTCTGTTTTTTTTTTGATTTTTAATTTTCTAAAACAACCCAAGAATACATGATAGTATGGTGGGGTATAAAAAATCTTTATTATTATTATTTGTATTTATTTATTATTTGGTATTTAAAATATAGAAGAAATTTCAAGAATGACTTAAGGTCTGCATACCTGACTTTGTCATGTCTTTGATATGTTGAGAGATTTTGTTGTCAATAAAATAAACATAATCTTAAACTATGCCATAAATATATCAGTTATGCCATAAATATATCAGTATTTATGCCATAAATATATCAGTTGATCAGAAAGAATCCAAATTTATTTTCAGAATCAGTAAGTTGTATAAATCATGTTGTAATGCTAGAATACTAGAGATTAATAAAATCATGTTGTAATGCTAGAATACTAGAGATTAATAAAATCATGTTGTAATGCTAGAATACTAGAGATTAATAAAATCATGTTGTAATGCTAGAATACTAGAGATAAAATCATGTTGTAATGCTAGAATACTAGAGATAAAATCATGTTGTAATGCTAGAATACTAGAGATAAAATCATCCAAAGTTTCTAAAGAAAAACTCAGATTATGATTGAGTGATTTTGATTTGTGTGGACATGATGGAGATAAGATAGTGCAAATTAAAATAGTTTTAAGGTTTTTTAATGCCAATCATTATGACAGAGATAATTTTTTTGATACAAGAGTTTTAAGAATCAATTTTTTTTAAGATCATAACACAGGTCAACAAAGTTTTACTTTTTTAATTTTTGTTTTTTTATGTTTTTTTTTTTGTTTTTTTTTTGTGCATACAATATGTTTTTCTTATAGTATTGCTTATTCTGATTTCAAATATCCAATCCTTTTTCTTCTATTACGTCAAGTTTTAAAGATATTAGGGTTCAAATCCTTAATATTTGGGGTAAAATTTCTAATATTGTCAAAAAAAACCTATTCAGAAGTATGTCAACCTGGGTCTTAAAAAAGAGCTTTTTTACAGAGATTTTAAAAAAGATAAATACTTTTATTTAAAAATTATTTGCAAAAAAATATAGTAAAAAACGCTAAAAAGTATAAAAATAAACTAAAAAAAATAATTTTCACTTTAAAAATATTAAATATTAAAAATATTCATTTTTATTACAAACTAATTTTTTTTTTGAAATCTCTAGAAACGCTATTTTTAAGACCCAGGTTGACATACTTCTGAATAGGTTTTTTTTGATAAAATTAGGGATTATACCTCAAATATTTGAGATTTGATCTCTAATATCTTTAAAACTTGACGTGATAGAAAAAAAAGGATTGCACATTTGATATCAGAATGAGAAATAATATAAGAAAAATTATTGCAAAAAAAAGTAAAAAAGTAAAATTGTGTTGACCTGTGTAATAGTTATCATTGCTTATTTATTATTTGTATGTTTACAATGGCTAACATTAAATTTCATTAAATAAATTTAAAAAATTTCTTCAACTCCAGGGTATTAAAATAAATAGTGCATAATCTTTGATTGAACAAATTAGATGATCAGACACAAAATGTTTTTGCTGCATAGGTTGAATTAAGTGTCAAATTAATTAAATAAACCTTTAACCAAGTATTTCTTACTTAATCGTGACCTATAAGAATATATATAAAAATTGCATTTTTACTCATTAATAGAATTTTTTTTTTTTTTTTTTTTTTTTTTTTTTTTTTTTTTTTTTTTTTTTTGTTAAGGTCTCTAAAATTATTTGCCTATGGAATACGAATCAAATCACCGATTTAACCTCATATAGGTCTTACACTTTAATTAAAATATGTTTTATATTAGTCAAACTTATTTTTGCCTTCTGAAAAATTTATCATTTAAAAAACAAGAAACAATAAAAATCTTAAGTTAATTATTTTCATCGTGAAAATAATTAACTTAAGGTTTTTAGTGTTTAACTTAAGATTTATTTTTTATAAATTTTTATTATCTACTTATCTCCTTTACTGTTCTCTTTATTATCTCCCAGTTGTTTATAATAATACGATAGCATTTTATAAATCGGTTTTACAGCCGATAGTTTACAATCAGCTAGTAAAACTTAAGTTTAATCATGTGCGATACAATAATCTTACTAAGTTTTGTATGCGTTTGTTTTAGTCATTAAAATGTTTGTTAAAAGATTATGGTGCTTATTATGTTCTTTTTCAGGCCTAGTTCTTCTGGGAAACGATCAAATTATTCTAATGTGACTACTTTGAGAATCAAGTCTGAAACTGGTGATCAGGTAATTTTAATATTAGCTTTATTAAAAGATTTAAGAATACTTAAACAAGTGAAAATTATAAGTAAGGGTTACTGATATCCTGGTACTGAACTTATAATAAAGGTTAGTGAGATTCCAATACTCCTTCCTTATGATGACTTGGCGAGACTTTAATTTAAATTTATAATATAGTTACCATAGCGAAGTTATCATTTTTTTAGACGTACCTATTAAGGATGCGCTACGATCAAACTGTCGGAGATGTGTATCGCTATCTTGATTCAATCAGGTATTTTTTGAACTTTTAAATTTATTTAGGTTTATTGATTTTTGTTAAAAATTTTTTTTTTTTTCTCCAGAAACCATCAAAGCTTGTATCAGTTAAAATCGTCATTTCCAAACAAAACTTTTACCGATTTCGATATTACTTTGAAAGATTGCGGACTGGTTCCGAATGCAACTTTACATATTCAAGAAAGTCGTACTAACAACGGCGTTTCTTAGAACTTTACATATTTGAGAACCTCGTTAAAAACACGTCGCAATGTTTTTTAAATTCAACTCTTTTAAAAAATTATTCTGTTTATTTTTTAAATAGTTATTATTTTAATATTAAAATAAGTTATTTAATATATTGATGCATTATTTGTATTATATTTCTTTATGTTGCTGTGAACCAACTGTTTACATATGTATATGTTACAACAATATTCAAGAAAAGATTTTAATTTCGTGTTAAATTTTTTAAAAAACAAAAAATTTAAATAGTTGAGCTTCAAATAAGTTGATATTTTACATCTAATGTTTTGATTGGTAATTTTTTTACTTCTAATGTTTTGATTGGTAATTTTTTTACTTCTAATGTTTAGACTGGTAATTTTTAACAAAATTTATTCTTAAGGTTTTCGAAAAAGCTTGATACAATTTTTTTCTTCTGACACAATTTTTTTTTTTTGTTTTTTTGTTTTTTTTAAATAATAAATATCAGGTTGTAGATGAAAAAAGTGAGTTGTCTTTTGCCTTGAATATTTGATGATGGACCGAAAAAAGTTGAATTTCGAGGTGTAGTCCAAATTTTCGATACCGATTTTTCATGGCTGTTTTTATAGTGGATGAACTCTTGGATTATAATTTTTTTTTTAAATAAACGCGTTAAAATGAGCGTTAATAGTGGTATTCGGGTTGTGAAATGAGGAATGGAACTGTGCTGCCGAGACGCAGTAGTTACAGCGCTTGCTTCAGTAGCAGGAAATCCGGGTTCGAAACGAACTCTGAACATATTTTCGCGTCACGGTAAGGAAGGAGGCGTGAACTTTCTGGTTAAATGCACTTCCGCGCTGCTCTGTGACAACCCTTTAGGCCCTCTTGGGACATAAATAGTCTAAATAACAAAATAAAAAAACTGTAGGAGAACAAGAAGATGTATAATTGCTGTTTCAAGTCTTTTCGTTCAATAAGTGCTGATTATATTGTTTTAATTCGTGATTTCATAAAAAATTTAGCTTGTGGGTTTACTTAGGGCCGAATCGGCGTTATTTGCTTGTGTTGAATTTTCAGTATGTTGAAAGACGTCTTTATTTGAATTTAAAAGGTGGTCCATTACCGCTGATAATTATTTTCGGTATCTATATACTGTTATCAATCAGGTCAGCAGATATATTATGTAAAATATTGACAACCGGAAATTTTGATGTTAAGTCTACGAGGACTACCAAATAAAATCCTTTCGGTCTGTTAAAACAGTTTCCCAAACTTTCCTTGGTAATGTTGTTACTCTATAGTTCGGCTGGTGCGTTTTGTTTACTAGTTGTTTGAAAAATTGTACATCGTTTAATATATTGTTTTACTTTAGTGTCTAGACCAGGAAAGTAAACTTTCTGTTTAAGCAGTAATTTGATTTTTTTAAGTCCTATGTGACTATTATCCGCAAGTTGTATAACCGTAATTTCCATTGAACGTGGAATCGCAATTTGATTTACTTTTAGGATAATGTTTTACGTTTGGTTTAATGTAAGTTCTTAGCAAAAATTACAACAAGCAAGTAATTCTTTTTGAAATTTTTTATTATATTTTTCGGGAGAACAATTCAAGTGTAATAGTTTATGCTAGCTATTTGGAGCAACTAACTCTGTAAGTATTTGAAGAATAGATTCGGTTTTGGTTTCTATTTAAACATCTAGTGGTGAAAAGGCTTTAGAAAATGCGCACTTAGTCGTAAAATTGAAATATTTTTCTAGCCCTTCGTTGTCACAAGAGTCTGCAGGGTGTCGACTAAGATAATCAGGTATACTATTTTTCCTTGGACGAAGAGTAGATCAAAAGAATATCCCTGCAATCGTTAAGCCATATATGCTTTCGAATTATAAGATAATAGTTTAAAGTCTTGTGTTAGCGTATTTTGTACAATGACTGCCGATATGCTTAGAAGACTCGCATCGGTTTAGCTGTAGTCTCTTTGTGTTTGATTAAATGTTTTTACCTGTCACCCGTTGACTTATGTTTAAATTATTTTAACAGATGCTGAAGCCAGATGTTTCATATTGTGTATTTCGAATGAACAAAAACTATTTTAATCTGCATAATAACAAGTACAAATAGCAACACAATATGGCGGACATAAATATGGTGGCCATAAATTAAACTAATTTCTAGTTTTTTTGTTGCAAAAAAACTTTAGTTAAAAGATAAATAAAAACATACTATAATATCATTTTACATGTGTTTTTATGATATTGTTTTTAAATACTAAGCATGTAAAAAAATTTTGTAGCATTTTTTTTTAAACGCATATTTTAGTTTTGAGTAACATTGACAGGAATGCTTAAGTCACCCCATATGCCAAGAATCAAGCAAAAGTTAGTGAAATAGTTACATCTGATCAACCTCACTTTACTTTATCCAACGCATGTGTCTAATACCATATCGTTTTTTAGTCTGTCAAAAGCATGCTGGCACTCAAAGTTAAAGCTCCATGATGAATCTTTATGAAGAAGGTTTTGAAAAGATAAGTAGTTATACTGTAGTGTAGAATGAAACATTTTAAATAGTTCATAGACCTAAGAAAGTTCTAGAGAGCTTAGTGAGTTCTGGTGATGACATGTTCTTGATATTATAAAGTTTTTTCTATGTATTCATTTCTTTGAAATAATAAATCAAAAATATTTGACTTTTTCTTTACCAAATAAGTATTATTCAGAATTTAGAGCTAAACCTTTCTGTTTGAATCTTTCTAATACTTTGTGTAATATTAAATTGTGCTGTTTTGTATTTGAAGCAAAAATTAGAACATCGTCGGCAATTCTCAAAGTTCTTCTATATTTTTTAAAACTTCTTGAAGCGTTTTGAAGTTCCTTCGGCAAGGAGTTTACTCCAGTTTATCTTTAACTTTTTCTCTAAGTGCAAAATGAATTCTTCTTTGTCAATGTGGAATACTTTTGTTGGTTTTCATAATTAAAAAGTTATTCTATTTTACCGCATGAAACAGAATTTTTGCATAAATTTAAAAGTGGTAGAAAATTGTTTTGGGGTTTTTGGAAGGAGTTTGCTATTGTTCTGCAAAGAGTGGCAATTTTGTTGTTTACTGTCGCTATAATTGTTTTTTACTGTTTTTGTTGTTGTTTCATAGTTTCTCATTAATATCAATATGCACGAGAGCTTTATTTTATTGCATTAAAGCAAATAATTTGGCGCTGTTTTCAGATAATTGATCTTTGAGGTACATTATAATCACGTGGAATGCGGACCGCAGGAAATTGGTTTCACTTTCTATCACGGCATTGATCTTATCTTTTATTTTAAGCTTCGGAATGCTATCCCCGTTAGTAAAAATCTATCTTTTAGATTTATGTATGCGGTCTTTTAAAGAAATTCTTTAACTTTATAATTGTTAGAATATTGATAAAAGTTCCAGTATCTATCGAACGGTAACTGGTATACTTTTTATGTATATTGTTACCTCGAAGTTTTCAACTGCGATATTAATTATCTTTTTAGTATTCACAGAGTTAGCCATTCAAGACGATTTTTTTTATAGTTCAAACATTTAAATATAATTGATGTCATTTATAGAGCTTGGCTTGACTTAAAAAATGAGGGGTCATTCGGCCTTTGAAGTTAAGCGGATCAAAAGTTATTGAACTTTTTGTAGTGGAAAAATTTTTTGACAAAAGGTATAGGGCCTAAGTATGAAAATTTGCTGTGTTATGGCGGACTTGAAACTTATTTTACAGACTTAAGGGATTTTACTTATTTAATTGTGCTATGAGGAAAAAAATTAGGTTTATACTACGCAAATATGCATAAAGGAATCATAGCGTCTAAAAAAAACATCATTTGAAAACTATTGCATAATTTACAAAACTCTGAGTGAAATTATCGCATAAGTCACAGACCGGTCAGCAAATTTCAGAAAATGGGATGTACAAACCAATTGGGCATAGCGACTTTAAATACATTTGATATTTTTGAACCGTAACTACATTTGATTTGAAATTTCAAATGAGTGATCCATTTATTATTAAATCTGTTGGGATCATACAGAATCGTTTATTTTACAGACTAGAGTTTTTTAACTTATTTAATTATGTAATGAAGAACAAAAATTATGGTTACAATATGCAAATATGTATAAGAAATCATGGAATCTAAAAAATACATTATTTTGAAATTAATGCACAATTTATAGACCCGTCAGTAAATTACTGCAAAAAGATTGCACAATTGGGCAATTTGACTTTGAATATATTTCATAATTTCCAACGGTTATTACATTTGACTTGAAGTTTTCAACAGGGATACAAAACTATAAGAAAATTAAATTCCATAATTTTTTTTTTTACATTTGTCGGGATTATCTAGAATCGTTAATTTTACTGACTGAAGTGTTTTTACTTATTTAGCTAGTCTTGGAGAATAAAATTTCGAGTTCTATTATAAAAACTCTTTGCAAATATGCATAAAGGATTGTAGAATCCAAATAATTCATCTGATTAAAACTATTGCTTAATTTACAGACCGATTAGTAAATTACTGCGTAAGGACATTGAAACCTATCCGAAACATTCATATTTAACAGAGAGAAGATAATAATTAAAGTTATAATTTATATTTAAATGAAAATAACTTACAGCAATTGAACTTTCTGAAACTTTGAGTACTTTTTAACATCAATAGCAGGTGTAACAGCAGAAACTCTACCTTAAAGGGTAAAAAAAAATATTATTAAAAAAACAGATACACAATAGTTTTTAAAATGTATTTGTTAATTCATTTTAAATATCAAAAATTAAAAAAAATATATAAATTAACAATTAAAACTAAATAAATATAAAATGAGAAACTTACTTTTTAAGAATATTTATGTGAACTAGTGACAACACCTAAGATAATTAAAAAAACAAAAACAACATTAAATCAAAAAATATTGCTATTCTACAACTTATGGCTTTTAGTAAATGATTAGAAGTAGCAAGTTTCTTTACGAAACAACCTAATAATCATTTTTAACAATAGACACCAGCGAGAAGGTAAGCCAAGTTATCTTTCAACACAAAATATCACAAAAATAACATCACAATCACAATACACAAAGACCCTGTGGCACCAAACGCTGCAAATTCGCACTAGTATCAATACTTAGCTAACAAGGTTAACTTCTATCTTCAGCCCTTTACTGTTTCTAACCAACATTAATGATCATCTCGA